AGGATGAGCTGGAGGGGAAGGACGAGGTAATGAGGACCACAATAATAAAAACACAAGGATGACAACACAGACTCACAGTGCTGTAATTTACCTTCTTATATCGCAAGCACTTCAGCATGAATTTCATCTAATGTCATTACCATGATGGCAGTTCTGAAAATTCTCAGATGTTTTTAAAGCTGTTTCCTTGGCTTCTACAAACAGACCATGGGCGGGCTGGGTTCTAGATGCTTCTCCTGTCTTTTCTGGGCCCAATGCCAGGTTCATCCCGTGACTCATTCCATCATCTGGGGGAGGGACTAAGTGGCCGCCAGGAGAATAAAAGGAGGAGACTGGGCTCTCACCTGCAAAGTGAGACCTTCTTCCCTGCCACGTCCAGTGACCAGCCAACAGCAGCGCCTGAGCCATGAAGCTGGTGGTGGTCCTCATGCTGAGCGCCCTCCCCCTTTCCTGCTATGCCGGTGAGTGCTGCCGGGGCCAGGCTTGCGGGGAGGTTGGTGTCAGGGCCCCTGTGGCAGACCTCCTGCTCCCCAAGCCCCAGGCCAGAGCCCCGCCTTTCTCTGGTGTCTTCATGCCTCATGGCTCCATCGTGTTTGGCTCTCTGGGCTGTGGAAGCCAGGGAGCTGGGGGGCATTGTGTGCGGGAGCGGGGACAAGGAGGCAGATGTCTTATTGCTCAGAGAAAATCCTAGACCCTGAGTTTGCTCTCCCAGAATTGAGGACTCGGACCATTGCCCATAATCTCTCTGAATGTCTGTCTCTACTGGGAGGTAAGAAGATGACAATCGTCATGGTTACGCCCAGCAAGGAGCTGGTCCTCTGGTACTGAGCCTGGCTCTGTGTGCTCTCTTCCCAGGGTCTGGCTGCCAAAGGTTGGAGGACATGATTGATAACACCATTGATCCTTCGGTGACCGAGGATCAATACATCGAAGGTCTTGACGGGTTCATACCGGGTGATGACACTGAACAGTACCTCAGGGAATTTAAGCAGTGCTTTCTCGGCCGGAGTAGCAGAACCCTGAGCACTTTCAGCGAGATCATGGTAATGGCGGTATCCTCCCACCTGCCCTTGAAGCACTGGCCAGGGACTCGCGGGCCCTCAGTTTGCTACTAACTTCTTAACAGCTAGTGTTGGTCACGCTACATGTCACCTCAGTGAACGTGGGCGCTGACTTCCAGAAAGCCATGCCAGGGCCGGGGCTGGCTTGCCTGCTCACGTGGTGGAGTCTGTAGTGAGTGACACAGGAGAAAGGCCCCGAGGGAGGAGAGTTTGGGCAAAGGCTTGCCTACCCCTCAGCCCCAGAACATCTGACTCTCAAGAGGACCCTCAGGTTGATGAGTGATCAACACAAATAGGAAAGTGTTTTAAAGAAAA